ATTGTTAGCCATGCAGCCACTGTCAGGCCTAGAGCAATGAAGCCGCCTTAAATGATCACATGCACTAGTGCTTTGTGTTCCTGATGCTGCAGAAGTGAGCTTTTAGTGATAATTTGAATGAGGTGAGGTAGATGTTTGGCAAATAAACTTTGGAATTCCTTCAAGTTTCACGGCATTGTGAAGCTGCCAGTGGAAAAAATGAAAAGAATATTAATGCTGGAAGCAACACAAAAATCCATTGAGTGTACAAAAGAAGATCATGTTAAAGATGTAGCTGAGGCAGAAGTACAGGGTGTCAGGTAGGAATTGGTCCATGAGGGGAGCCCATTTAAAAACCAGCTCCCCTTGTGGACTGGCTGCCTGTTGCCCAATGCTGCTGCAAAGAGGCAGCAGTGTGGGGTGGCAGCAGCCCCTGTCTAAGGTGGGTCTGAGCTCTCAGACCCAACACGAGCTGGAACTGAGCTAGGCTGCCTGCCTGCCTCCTATTACACATTGAATGCAGAGCTGCAGCAGAATAGGTTCTGGACCTGGTGCGAGCTGGACCTGAGCTGGGCTGCTGGCCAGCCTGCTAAAAAAATTATTGGTAAGGGTTGGGGGAGGGAAATGCATGTAGCCTATAGCATTAACCCCGTGGTCCCCAACACGGTGCCCGCGGGTGCCATGGTGCCCGCAGGGGCATTTCAATACGCCCGCCAGGTGCTCGGGGCTGGCCTGGCCCCAGGCACATGGCGCACGGGCACTTGCGGGGGGAGCGCGCTTGGCGGGGGGGAGCGGTGACTGGGGGGGGGGCCGCCCCTGGGCGCGCAAGTATCCCCGCCCCCTGGCGCCCAGCGGGCAAACAGCCACGCCCCCTGGAGCCCGACAACCTCAAAAGGTTGGGGACCACTGCATTAACCTATAAGCTTTTGCTAATCGGTTCATCGATTACACTATTACATCCCTAGTTTTTATTCAAACTTTTATATTAATGTTTGCTAACCCAGAGGTTACTAATGAAAATCATCTCATCTGAAGAAGTAGCTTTTGCCCATGAAAGCTCATGCTACTATATATATATATATTTGTTAGTTACTAAAGTGCCACAGGACTACTCATTTCAGGAGGATACGGTCTTTTTATGCTTATTTAAATAGTCATATCGCTTACAAACATGTATTCAGATTTTAGGGTTTGGGACTTTTTTCAGAAAATTGTGAATGAGCATTTCTTAATTACTTAATTGATTTGTATTAAGCTGAAAATTTAGTAAAATGCACAACAGCAGCATTTAAAAATTGTTAGACTGGTTAAATAAAACTGCTTTTTAACTATGCACAAGAAAGAAGTATATCCACTCACATTTTATATTTAAAACCAGCCTGTTAAACAAAGTTTTAGTTATGTTTCATGCACACTTAACTATAAGGTGTAAACATGCTTTGAGAGAGACAGTTTTTGGCAGCAGCTTTTTGGGCTGAATCAAGGATGAAGTTAGTTAGTACAGGTTAGAGCTAACGAATAGCACAGGACACTTAGAGCCAGGACTGGTGACTTTATTTATTTATTGAAAATATTTTTACCCCTGCCTCTCTATTTAAAATATTTGAAGCAGCTTACAAAATTTTTAAAATGCTATAAAGTTTTATGGGGCCGCAGGAAACATGACCACACCCAAGACAAGTGGACATCCAGCTAATTAAAATAATGCTAGACCCAGATGTTGCCAGACTAGAGAGTGCTGGACTAAAGAGGTTTAGCCTGTATAACAGGTATGAAAGGAGATATAGTGTGGACAAATGACCTAATTGTCAAGGTCACAGTGGAATACAGATGTTTAGAACAGTTGCAGCTGGCCTGGGGACTGAACTGCGTCTCTGAAATTTGTTTGTACATTTGGCCTCTGTTACTGATGAGATGGAAATGTATGTGCCATTTTGTACTGTGGCATGGCCTGTAGCCAGAAATGTTATCCCTGAGGTAATCAGTACAATATATTCTGCCTGATGCTATATTGCCTGAAGTTCTCCACGTAAATATTACGAAGTCTGGGGTGTCTCAATTTTAAGGATGCTCTAATTGCCAGATGGACACTAAAAGCCCTGACAATAACATAAGTAGACAGGATTACAAGAGCAAGAAGGCCATGGAAAACTGTAGCACATCTCCATTTGTCTGGAGTATTAGATGTGGTTGGTAGGGAAATGGCTGGCACAGCAATCTCTCTGTTCTGTGTATGTCGGCTGTTAGGTTGAGTCATGTTTGCTGGTTTAACATTTAGCTCAGAGTTAGATTGAATCGTAGGTATGCCTACCTGTATGACCTTAACCCTAATCCTTGAGCTATACTCAGACTACTGCTGCTGACTGTTTGTTTCCCCACCACAGGTTCCTGCTCCAGTCCCTGGAAGACTTGGACAATAGTTTAAGAAAACTCGGCTCCTGCTTGTTTGTGGTCCGGGGGCAGCCAACAGATGTCTTCCCAAGACTTTTCAAAGTAAGAGGCTAACCCTGTATTTTAGCTTGATCAGGAAGACATTAGATCATATTTTGGGATCCCTTTTTTTATTCCTTATGTCATTGTTCCCTAGTCACCTATGGTCCTCAGGTTGCTCTCCAGCCATCTTTGATTTAAATCAGCATGCATGACGATTTAAATCAATTGATTCTAATCTTGTGCTACTTTTGTTAGCTCTTTTCTTCAAGAGGTTCATTCTTATTAGTTGATATAACTGTTAACGTATCTTGTAATCAAATGTAGCCTTTACATTAAATTTGTAATTTTTTGCTAACCAGAAAGATAACTATATATATTTAACCAAAACTATAGCTTAATATATGTTTGTTCAAATTGTTTTGCTTTTTTAATTGTGGGAGAAGTGGTAAATGGATTATTTATTTACTAGTTATTTTATTTGGGATTTGTGTCTACCTCTATTTGAATGGAAATTGAAAATGTACAAAAAATGCTAATTTAAAACAGTTTTTATACAATATAATTTCATATGCTGGATTTTTTTTCTTTTCAATTTATCAAAACATGTTATTTAAAACTGATTTATTAAAGAAAGGAAATAGTGACCTACTCTCGCATCCATGAGTTAGCCTTTGTTTTTTAGGCATCTACAATTGCAGAAAGGTAGCTAGTGGAATTTATAACTGTGTTTAAGTGGGTTAGGTGCCTGCCTCCCATTGAAATGTGGAGTATTAGATCACCCTTCTCATATTTTATCTTCATTGACTGGAGAAGGTTGAGAGTAGAAATGCTTGTTTTCTCTGAATCCATATCCCAGCTTTGACTGAACTAGTATAAATGAGAAAATAGTTTCTCTGTACCTGATAGCTATATTGAGACCAAAGGGGGGCATTAAGGTAAAAGCATTTCTGCAAAACATAAACCAAATCTACTGATGTTTGGAAAAGTGTAAATAGTAACCCATTGTAAAGACCAAAAATAGTGTAGATTATGTAATAAATGATATTGTGACATATCTTTGCAGTTTGTCAACCTAAAAAATTAGAGGTTCTTCATGATTTAATATACAATTCATTAACATTTGAGGACCTTTTGATGCAGCAATTTTAAACAGTTTCAATAGATTATAGTAAATTTAGGCCTTAACATAGGCTGTTGTAATCTCATAGTTTAAACAGGTTTAAGTTGACAGACAAGTGTATTTAATTTTCAGTAAGAATCTAATTTAAATAAAATTATTTTTATCTACCTGCTTCTCAAAGCCTGCCATAGAGGAAGCTTCTGATGAGGATGGGGGAAAATATGCAGTTCTTGTGAGTCTGAATGGTTTGTCAGTGCACAGTAAGCTGTCATAGTTCCCCACTTGACAAGAGGGGAGGGACTAGGGGGATCAGATTACCAGGGTCAGAAGGTATGTTGCTATTCTTTCTTGAACTGTGTTTTAGCACATGACAAAAATATCCTCTGCTTTGCTTTTAGTCTTTCCAGAATGCAGGTTATTTTTATCTATTTTTGTCTATTTGTGGTGCATGTCCTTAGCTAAAAATAAGCTGCAAATAAATACTGTCTATTTGTGGTGCATGTCCTTAGCTAAAATAAGGCAAGGACTAAATATAATCCCAGGACTGTTAAAAAGAAAGGAAACATACTAACTTGTTTAATGGAATTTAGCGAGCTGTTTTATTTTCTAATCTTAAAGAACAGTAGTTGTAATTGACTTGCCCAAAGAGGAATCAGCCAGTGTTTCCTCTAATATTTTCTCTCTTTGGGCAGGTTGACTTTTTTTTTCTTTTGGGCGGGTTGAAATTTCTAATGTGCAACATCCATACTGAGGTAGTGTATGGATGAGCAATACCAGTACAAACAAAACTTATACATACACACAAATATATATTTTAAGCAGTCCATATGTGTAGAAAAAAATCTTTTAAAACAAGGGATAGTTAACAAGGAGCACTGCTTATGATGATTTTATTTTTTTACTTGATTTCATATTAAATAACACTATCTTTGGAGTACATGTATTACTAACAATTCAAGCTAGTAAATCAAAATGCATATTATCCACACATAGACCAGCTTTAAAATACTAAACAAATCTGAGTCAACTAGAAATAGTATTTACAAGGAGAGCATGACTAATACAATATTTACTGACACTGGAAAGGAGAGTAAAAGACATTCACTCAGGCTTATAGTGTTTCTCTGGGGAATGTTTAGGATCCATGTTGTAAAAATAGATGAAAGTTTCAAACCAGGAGAGCTTTTACCTTCTCTGTTTCACCAATTTAAAGAGTAGAAGCCCCAGAACAAATGAACAGATGGCTTCAGGGTTTGTAGACAGATGCATGTTTCAAAGAACTTTCAAATAAGGTTTCATCCTATAAAACTAGCATCACGGCTGATACTTGCTACTTCTGATGCGTAAGAGCCAGAAGTATGCCATATAGCAAAAATCTGGCCTTAATACATGGCATATTGTATTGCATTAATTAGTAACACAGGATTTTAAAAAAAATCATTAAGATAAGAACGGCAGTACTGGGTCAGACCAAAGGTCCATCTAGCCCAGTATCCTGTCTACCGACAGTGGCCAGCACCAGGTGCCCCAGAGAGGGTGGACTGAAGACAATGATCAAGCGATTTGTCCCCTGCCATCCCTCTCCAGTCTCTGAAACAGAGGCCAAGGACACCATTTTATCCCCTGGCTAATAGCCTTTTATGGACCTAACCTCCATGAAATTATCTAGCTTATCTTTAAACTCTGTTATAGTCCTAGCCTTCACAGCCTCCTCTGGCAAGGAGTTCCACAGGTTGACTACATGAAGAAGACCTTACTTTTATTAGTTTTAAACCTGCTACCCATTAACTTCATTCGGTGTCCTCTAGTTCTTCTATTATGGGAACTAATAAATAACTTTTCTTTATTCACCCTCTCCACACCACTCATGATTTATCATATCCCCCCTCAGTCTCCTCTTTTCTAAACTGAAAAGTCCCAGTCTCTTTAACCTCTCCTCATATGGGACTCGTTCTAAACCCCTAATCATTTTAGTTGCCCTTTTCTGAACCCTTTCCAAGGCCAAAATATCTTTTTTGAGGTGAGGAGACCACATTTGTACACAATATTCAAGATGTGGGCGTACCATAGCTTTATACATGGGCAGTAAGATATTCTGTATCTTATTTTCTATCCATTTCTTAATAATTCCTAGCATCCTATTTGCCTTTTTGACCACCGCTGCACTCTGTGTGGAAGTTTTCAGAGAACTGTCCACGATAACTCCAAGATCTCTTTCCTGATTTGTCATAGCCAAATTAGCCCCCATCAGACTGTACGTATAGTTGGGGTTATTTTTCCCGATGTGCATTACTTTACACTTATCCACATTAAATTTCATTTGCCATTTTGTTGCCCAATCACTCAGTTTGGTGAGATCTTCTTGGAGTCCCTCACAGTCTGCTTCTGTCTTGACTATCCTAAACAGTTTGGTATCATCTGCAAACTTTACTACCTCACTGCTTACCCCTTTCTCCAGATCATTTATGAATAAGTTGAAAAGGATTGGTCCCAGGACTGACCCTTGGGGGACACCACTAGTTACCCCTCTCCAATCTGAAAATTTACCATTTATTCCTACCCTTTGTTTCCTGTCTTTTAACCAGTTCTCAATCCAAGAAAGGACCTTCCCTCTTATCCCATGGCCATGTAATTTACACAAGAGCCTTTGGTGAGGGACCTTGTCAAAGGCTTTCTGAAAATCCAAGTATACTATATCTACTGGATCCCCCTTGTCCGCATGTTTGTTAACCCCTTCAAAGAACTCTAACAGATTAGTAAGACAGGATTTCCCTTTACAGAAACCATGTTGACTTTTGTCCAACAAATTATGTTCTTCTACATGCTTCACAATTTTATTCTTTACTATTGTTTCGACTAATTTGCCCGGTACTGAAGTTAGACTTACCGGTCTGTAATTGCCAGGATCGCCTCTAGAGCCCCTTTTAAATATTGGTGTCACGTTGGCTACCTTCCAGTCATTAGGTACAGAAGCTGATTTAAAGGATAGGTTACAAACCACAGATAATAGCTCAGCAATTTCCCATTTAAGTTCTTTTAGAACCCTTGGATGAATGCCATCCGGTCCCAGAGATTTGTTAACATTAAGTTTTTCTATTTGTTCCAAAACCTCCTCTAATGACACTTCAATCCGGGACAGTTCCTCAGATTCATCACCCACAAAGGACGGTGCAGATTCAGGAATCTCCCCAACATCCTCAGCCGTGAAAACTGAAGCAAAGAAATCATTTAGTTTCTCCGCAATGGCTTTATCATCCTAGCATTTGTGTAGAAGCACTTTAAAAATTGCCACTGCTTATTTGTCTGCCCTTCCCTGATGCATTGGATTCCTTAGAATGCGGTTGTTTGTCTGCTCTGGCCCATGGTTTGTCCTCTCCCCTCCTCTCTTTCTGACTACAGCTTAGAGAATCTCTATCAATGGATTCTCCTCTAAG